CAAAAACCCGAGTGTGATCACTCGATAGGGAAGACACTAAGCGACGAAGCCCTATACAGAGCTATGTCTGATCGCAAACACAATTTGTCATCACACCAACTCACTGTTGATCACAGCACTTCTACTAAAGAGGTATGCAGAAAGAAACCTTAAATCATTTCGCCTACTATTAGTCTCATTCATTGTCCATATATGTGAAACCTTAAACATGTTTTGTGGTTTGCAGGAAGTGAACAGAATTAAGAGGGAACATCCAGATGATTCCTCTGCAATCAAGAATGGTCGAGTCAAAGGTTCCTTGAAAGTTACCCGAGCTTTCGGGGCAGGCTATCTCAAACAAGTATGCAATAAATATTGAGTATATAGAGTGATTGCTTTAAATTTTCTGCATATGCTGACCTTTTCTATCATTTCATCTGTATTTTACAGCCAAAATGGAACAATGCACTTCTCGAGGCCTTCCAAATTGACTATAAAGGAAATTCTCCATACATAAATTGTCTACCTTCACTTCACCACCACAAACTAGGCCCAAAAGACAAGTTCTTGATCTTGTCCTCGGATGGACTTTACCAGTATTTCACTAATGCGCAAGCTGTCTCTGAAGTCGAGACATTCATGTCTATATTCCCTGATGGAGATCCCGCACAGCATCTAATCGAAGAAGTAATCTTCAGAGCTGCTAAGAAAGCCGGTAAGGACTACTAACTATACATATATATGTGTCAAGAACATAACTATAGCAGCCAACATAATCTAACCCTGTGTTTCAATGTTGCAGGCATGGACTTCCACGAGTTGCTTGATATACCACAAGGGCAACGAAGAAGGTACCATGATGATGTCTCCATTATTGTTATTTCTCTCGAAGGAAAGTTATGGCAATCATCCATGTAGTTTCGACATACAGATCAGATAGAATCTCGATCAGAATTGATTTGTTTTTTCTTTTGACCCCATTTTTGCAGTAGTGTTCATAGTAGACTGAGCTTTTGTTCAGATAGAGATTTAAGTTTCTTGATATGGGGATTGTACTTTGCCAATAACCCCTTCCCTTTTTCCCCCCTCAGATGTTATATATACATAGGAAAGCAAACACTTTGTAAAAGATGCCACTCCCTCCCCCTGTATACATATCACCAAAGGGAGATATACATCCACAAAGCTTTATAACTTAACCAAATGGTTGAAATTCATTGGTTTTGTTTACTCTTCCATTCCCCATTTGCCTTACTTATTCTTCTTCCTTGAATCTTACAAGATCAGATAAGAAAACAATGAACACAGTATCTCCAACCTAGATGTTTTTTTTTTGGATGACGAGTGAAACTCACAGCCACAAAACATCACCATGTGACCCTTGCTGGCGAAGGACCACAAGGAGGTAAACCAGCCTAGGTTGTCTATAGCTGATTGGCTTAAACCAAAAAGGCTAATAGGCAGTTCTGTCGGGGTCAAACTTGTGACCTGGTTACTAAGTTAACAATCTGACCAACTTGGTTGGGTTGTCATAGAATTCTTCCTGTTTCCATGTTTATCTGTTTGGTTCTCAGATTCAAACAACCAATCAAATCTTGATGTCATAAACTAGAAGTAAAACTACTAATTATGCCCAACTCCCCAATTTTCAACCATGTATAATAAATGGTAGGCCAAACTGTCTGACTAAACAAAACATATATTGGGATCACCTTCTGGTTGTTCTGATGAAACATTTGACTTTGTTTTTTTTGAGGTAATTGAATAGGTAGAGAGTTTTAGGTCTTATGTGACAAGTACATATTTGTCAAACTTCTATTAGCCAGCTAGTAGAAATGAAATCCCCCATTAAAACAGATATTTCAAGATTTGAATCATATATTCTGCTCCCAGCATGTAAAAACTGAGGCATTAGTCAATTAAGCTCATCATTTTCCATTAACCTTCTACGCGTCTTCACTATCATTTTGCTAATCTAATCCATTTTTAAGTTGAACTTAAACCTTGTTAGCCAGGAGGAGTTCAAACAAGTCATAGATAGCGACCCATGCAATAACTCAATAAAATACACATTTGCAGACATAATCTAATATTCAAACTTAATTTCTCCACCCTCAATTAAAGTAAAAAAAAATGAAATATTATATCATGTGTCTAGATGTATATAATACACATTAATTTAAGTCAAGGATTAATATAATCTCATTTCATATTATTTATTGTGTTTATTTTATTTCTTTATTTTCATTTTTAATAGTCTAATACCAAATCATGTGAGGATGTAAGCTTTTGCTTTATAAGGGGGTCTAATCAAAGAGGCATTTTCCCTTCAAATTTTTTTTTTTTAATAATGAAAGTTGACTATCAACTATCAGACAAAAACCTTGCATTAGCAAAATTTTCTTTTTTTGATTGGGTGGTTAGTTGTCCCATGACGTGAACAAAAGAAAATAATAATAATGGAGATAAATCCCAACCAAGTTAGCAGGACAATTGATTTAGTAACCATTAATGTTCTAAGTTTGAACTCTCTGTGTAAATTGTATATCGACTTTCTTGATTTGAGCCGATCAACTATAGACAACATATACTGGTATACCTAGTAAAAGGTAATCTAACTACTTAAGACAAATAGTAAGTAAATTACTAATGTATCTATAAGGACATGACATGCAGCGGACCAAGATTAGTCTTATAGTGGTAAAAATGACAAATGTTATATGCAAAATAAATAAAAGGTGGGTTTTGAGTCAATGCCTCAATGGAGTTGTGAAAGGGAGAGCTAAAGAAATTAGATACATGAACATGAAATATAAAACGTAGTAAGATACGTGGAAAAAGAAAGAAGGTAAAACATGTGAGTTGTGTGACATTTGCTGGTGGTTTTGGTACGTCTCACATCTCGTGACCCTATTTAATTGTCTTTATTGCTAACAAATAAAATGCCCAAAAATATAGAATAATAGGGGGGTCCATTTATATATTTTGGACTATCACTGTCATAACTACTACTACTACATTTTCTTCTGGCAGCCATTGGAACCAGTTAGCTGATGGCGACGATCATTTCTGCCTAATACAGCCACCATCCTCCAAATTTTTACCCCTAATTATTAATCTATATATGTCGGTCAGCAACCCTTTTCTTTTTCATTATTATTTTTTAATTTTACAAAAAAATTATGTAAAACCGTCTTATTTTTTTCTTATCGGTCCTAGTCATACCAGAAGGAATTCGAACTCCCGACCTCTCTTAAATGACAAGCGTGCACGGCTACTCACACCAACTAAGCTAGTTTAATGCAATATTTGTTGATCCATAAAAAATTATTGCATTTTCGTTAAAAAATATTACATATTTGAGATTGTCTCATATGAGACCGTCTTATATAAGACTAATCATTTTAATTTTTGTACTATATATATAACTCAATATCTTATATAACCAAATTAAACTCAAACTGATTTACAATCATCCTACTAGCCAAAAAGTGACTATTTTTTCCGTTTGCAAATTGCATTAATTCAGTTGAGTTTTAATCCAGGATACTTAAGCCACTCAGATCCCTCGGACTTGAATCACCGTCTTTTTGTGACAACATGTTATGTTAGACAAAATGTTAGACCAAACTAATAGAATTTTTTTTTTCTTTTCTTTCTAGATGATTTGGTTCCACGTACGTTTCTGAGGTTGACAATAAAAACATTGACCGAATCCAACGTTGAAATACACAAATATACATTAAAAAAACAGTATTATTTCATCACACACATGGATTAGATTCATTATTAAACATGAACCAAATCAAAACAAGGGGTTTAGGTAAAGAGAAGGTGGAGAGAGAATGCATGGGACCAACCAATGAATTGCTTCCCCAACCTATATTCTTGGTAAGCTGAAGGCTTTCATTCCTAATTGGTGTTTTTTTTTAATGCATTTCTAGGCATGCAAGTTGTGAAAGTCAGACAATATTTTGGGAGATTTTTGGTGGTTCAAGAAAATTCAATTCCTAGTTGGTATATTCTTAGGATCAAAGTAAGAAGTACCAAACCCTGACACGATGTCACACGAACGTACGTGCAACTTTCAACACCATAGAGTATAACGTGAAAGCATACTTATCATCATCAAGGCTTAGCGGTCAGGGAGGCGATGTCAAGATCAGTGACTGCAAGAACTGGCAATCTATATATCATCCCGAGTGAAATCCAGCAGTTCAGTATCCAGAGACTCTGTTCAAGTAGAATACAGCCATCAGTTATAGGTAGTTCATTGTGGTTCAATGAGATATCGTAAAAACAAGTATAAGGGAGAATGGCATGCCTCTGCATGGTTGGAAATGTATAATGCAAGAATTTGCACAATGCTGCATTTCTGCATTTTTCTGTATATTCTCAAACCTAACTGAATACAACTTTTAATTTAGACTTTAAAAGGGTATGATAGTTAACTAGCTTGGTTGGCATGAGTGACCGTGCACTCTCATCCCTTAAGAGAGGTCGGGAGTTCGAATCCCTTGTCGTATAGAAAATACCAATCTGGCCAGCACTTTGCCCTTTAATTGGGCCGGTCCGGTGCGAATGGAGATTAGTTTGAGTATGGTACGGGCTTAAAGGTGTTTCCTACAGTTAGGGCCTGCTCAGGAAACCTCATGACCTGACCAAAAAAAAGGGTATGATAGTTGAAATATATTATGTTTTGAGCATAAAAACATTTACTTGGCATTCTAAATGAGAAAGAAACTTACATCATCCAAGGAACTTCATATCTGTATTGCTAGGAGAAGTCAATAGTGCATTGGAACTGACTGACATCCAGCAAAGCAACCTGCAAGAGAAGACAGCAAAATTACGCAAGTATACTGCACTCAAATAATGCTGGAACTGTTCTCATGGATTCTAACAATCTGAAAAAGTGGGAGTCTTGCACAATTTTCATAAACTTTTGATTCAAAACAGATGCAAATGATTGAATTTAACAAAAGGGATGTCTGCCAATTCTTAAAAAAGTGTCCAAAAGATATGAGACCTCCAAATTAGAAATCAGAAGTTAAATCTGACTGGTGCACAGCTTAGAGATTTGTTTCCTATAGTAATCATATCATAATGAAGACAAAATTTTCAGTAATGATACAATTAGTTTCTTGTCCCAACAAAGAAGAAAAGCCAAAACCGGATTTCACTATTTGTTTTCCCTATGCCCCTTTAGACAAAAACACTTTGGGCTTGGTAGTATAGGACCAAATTACATTTAATGAAGAAGTAAGAAACTGATGGTTGAAGACCAGATTTGCCAGTGTGGAGTTGGGAACAAGATGTTGCATCCTAAAGCAAGATAGACCACTGATTATGATGCTAGCAGATGTCTAACAACATAAAATGCTTGGTTAAATGCCATTTGAACTCTTCAGGATCTGGCTACCATATAAACCTCTGTACACCAGGTTCATGGGTCCAGGAAAACGGTCGAAACAAGAACATGAACATTGTGAAGCAATTAACAGCAGCATACAGCAACCCCATCAGAATCCAACTTCTGTCATCATTAACATGGGAATGGAGAATCAGGAAGAAGAATGGAATGGTATAGTATCTGAATTCGATCAGTGGAGCAGGAATAAGGGTAGCAGCAGTAGCCAAAAAGTATGCCACCACCCATATCTTCTTCTGACTTTTTACTGCCAATCATACCACATCAAGAAAAGAAAGAAAAAGCGGGGATTAACATTTACCAGAAAAAACTAGAAATAATAGCACTTTTCCCCTTCCTCTTCTGCAGTAAGTACAAGCAAGTTATATCAGAGAATTTAACTGACCTAAGATACTCAAGATCGAAAGCCACAGATAGCTGTAAATTGGAACAAGAAGGTACTTCATGAACCAGTAACGATTAATGACTTTTCTCCAAAGATAAAAGGGATAGTGTCGATTATCGGCCAGGAGATACGGATGAGCAATGCTGCAACAACCAATAAATGTGTCACAATAATTACTGGTTGGTCATACATGTAGTGACTCTTAGGAAACTAGTCAAAAGAAGAAGAGTCCAGAATTTACTTTGATGTATAAAAAAATATTTCACCTACCTGAAAAAGTGCACAGAGATTAAGCCAGCAGCCAAGGCCACGGACAATTTAAAGAGGCTGATCAGTTTATTCTTCCAGAATGACTGAACTAGCAGTATAAATTGCCTAAACGAGAAGTGCACAGGTGCCATAAAAATGGCAGAAACCAAACTAAAATACAGAACTTGTGAAAAATGTGGGGAAACAGCATGAGCTTCCTTTGCACCTGCATAAAGGTTTCAGCATGGAACTAATTCATCCTTTAATAAATAAAAAAAAAAAAGTATAGAAATAGAATTAAAATTCATACAGATAGGGAAAGGGTTTAGACAAAGAGGTACCAAGAACTATACTGCCATTCCAATAAACAAAAGTGACAAAAGCCACCAAAGTTATAAAGAATGGACTAAAGGAAGCCAAAAGATCCCACTTCATCTTCCATGATGATGAAATAACTTCCCTTATCTCATCAAACAACTCTGTATGTTCTACAAAGCCATAAAAGAACAGTCAGAAGTGGAAAAAAAAAATTTAAAAAAAAAAAATGATAAACATAAACCTACATGATGCAGTTGTTCAAAAAATTTCACAATTGAAATTCAACATGACAAGGAAATGCCACCATGACACCATCAGTCAACACTCAACATTAAATTAATTGATTTTATAGAAATGGATCTAATGATAAATGACACTGCTAGAAGTTTGCTATTTCATCAGGGAATTCTCACAACTAGCATCTAAAATCAAACTTGCTTCTAATGGAATCATAAGAACTGAAATAATTTGACTAACCTGATATATGGTGTGTGGAACTGGCAGTTGTTTGGCCATTCAAATGGCTTTTCCTATTTGCATGACTAACAGTTCTTCGTTTTCTCACGTTCGAGCCCATGGTGGAACTTTGACTAGAGGATGACAAAGTGTCTTCCTGAACTACTTTGAAGTCAGCATACACCATGTTGTCCTTCCGATGAGCAAGACAAAAATCTAAAACCCCAGTGCATGCTATGAATAGCACCCAAATAATATTTGTTTGTCGTACAAGCACAGCCAAAGCACCGAGCTACAGAGAGGAGATGGATTGGAAATTGAACTTAGAAGAAGCCTTTTTATAGTTGAATCAAATTATCAAAAAGAGTCAAAAACTAATTGCAGATGTAGGAGTCTTGGAATAAGTGGACATTACTTTCAGACATTCAACAATGAAACAGGAATACTTATTAACATTCATACTTATAATAGATCTTTTAATTTTATCCTCAAATTCAAATATGAAAGGCTAATTCCCTAAGTTAGAAGCTAGAAACAAATACAGATTATTTTCAGACATTGAAAAAGTAGTAACATCAGAAATCATATGAACTTTATCCTCTTACCAATGCACTGAATGGATAATTCTTCTTGAGACTCAAAAGGTATGATGCAAGTACTGCAGCTAGTGATGCTATGTCAGTATAATAAAGAAATGTGAAAAACCAATGAAGGGGATACAAAGCTAAGACAACTGCTCGAAGAGTTGCTTTCCTGTCACTAAGACCTGGCGATAGATGGGTGATTATATCATAAACAAGTATGCTGCAAATTACAGCCAAAACACCATTGATGGAGCGCAAAATTGGAGTGGAACAAGTTTCTGAAAATGATGAGGCCAGTTGCATAGAGAATAGCCCTGGAAACAGAGAGGCAACATGAGCAAGTGAAACAAAGTACCTGCACAAATACATCAGTTTTTTGTCACTTATTGCATCCAAAATAATTACCAGCAAATATAATCACTGCCAGATTTCACTTTACTTTTTTTTTTTTTTTCTCAATGACGAGTGGCAAAAACAGACTGTGAAGTACTCTAGTAATGTGATACTATCAGGCTGTAGCTTCCTATAAAACACTCCTACTGGGTCCATTCCACACAAAGATAAAAACTTTTGTGTTTTAGATAATGGGGGTTTAGTTAGATGAGCCTTGTAAGTCTCAAAACCAAATAAATTTTTGAATCACCAATCAGTCAGTCCTTCCGCATATGGAAAGAAAAACTCAACACAGAACAAAGTATGAATATATTGCCAAATCCATAGGGTTCAAGATTAAGGGTTAAATTAAGACTCACAAGCCAGGGGGAGTGGTGATCATTGGATCCCAACTCCTGAAATTCCCTTTGCAGTACTGTTGAGCTTGAGGTATGTGAAATATCTCATCCTGCAACCCAAATTTCAGATAAATCAGCATGTATGTGCGTGCATGATTTTGATAAGAAAATTATAGGAAAAGAAGCAGTACCATGTAAGGCTCCGGAACAATGCGACTGACTAGAATCGATACGGGTATCACCCACAAGCTTACAATCAGTGAGACTTTGATTTTCCCCATTTCCTCTCCCCTCTTTCCTTCCTCCACAGCCGCGAGCCTGAAAGTTCCGGCAATTCGGCTGGGAATTGAAGAAATCAAAGCTGGAAGAACGGAAGAAGACAAGCCCAAAACGACGTCGTTCTCATCCTTTTAAACTTTTATACACTTCTCCGTGTTAATTTACCCTTCTGCACTTGTCAAAATAATGTATTATTGTACTTACCATCTTGACTCACTCATTTGTCAATCTTTTTTTTTTTTTTTTTTTTTTTAAGAAGAAAATACATTAGGTTTCTACACTTTTTATAGCTAAAGATGACAACATGGCAGGACAAAGTGGGGAATAGGGTCTCCATTCCCGTCTTAGAATTCAAACCCCATTTTTTATCCCCGTCCCATTCTCCGATGATTTATGGTATGAATGTGGAGATGGACAAACAACATGTTTATCATGATATATATATATATATAAAAAATTTTGATTCAGGTTTCAATACGCTCATTGAGGATATTAAAGAAGCAAGTAGTTAAATGTCATATCTATTTCTATTTTGGCATTTTGCTAAACAATATGCTAATGAAATTGTACATGCTATCGCTCGAGAAATCACTAGCTTGTCATTCTTCCCTTTTTTTTTTTTTTTTTTTTTTTTTATTGGTGATGTTTTAAGTTTTGACTTAATGAATTTATATTTTTACTTTAAAAAAATAAGGAATTCAATATATTAATATTAAATAATAATTACCCTAGTTGTATTATTTTGGATGTCATAAAATAACAATGTTTGTATAATAATTTTTTAAAAAAATATATGGTGTCATGCACTCTAAAAATTGAACAGCTATGTATGTGCATAATTGTAGCTTTAATTTCACTTAATTACCATAAAAATAAGATAAAGGCCACGATAATAAATTTTAACATTCCATATAATTTGTCAAGTACCTTGTGCTCAGATGATATGTAATGACTCTCCTATATGGAAGATCATGAGATTGAGTCTCAGTGGAGGTGGAGTAATATTTAAAAAAATGGAAGTTTTTTTTAGTCAATTTAACTGGGCAATAATACTCCATTTTTTTTAGTCAATATAACTGAGTCAGTAATATTAAAAAAAATTGAAATTTTTTTTAGTCAATTTAACTGGGCAATAATACTAAAAAAAAATGAAAGTTTTTTTAGTCAATGTAACCAATTCAGTAATACTCAAAAAAAAAAATGGAAGTTTTTTTTTTAGTCAATGTAACTGAATCAGTAATAATAAAAAAAAAATGAAAGTTTATTTTAGCCAATATAACTTAGTCTTTTTACATTTATCAGCTTATCAAAAAGCTAATACCAAACACTTTCAATCATAACAGCTAGCTTAACAGCTCTTCAATTTTCAGCTCCGAGCTTATAGCTTTTCAGCTTTCAGCTCCTAACTTATAGCTTTTCAGCTAAGTTTGACAAATAGAGCATGAGTCAGTAATACTAAAAAAATGGAATTTTTTTTAGTCAATATAACAGTCAGTAATACTCAAAAAAAATAGAAGTCTTTTTTAGTCAATATAACTGAGTCAGTAATACTAAAAAAAAAATATAAGTTTTTTTTAGTCAATTTAACAACAAACAGAAGGAAAAGAATAAACAAAATCACATCTTTAGGAAACAAAGTAATAATAAATTAAGTACCTTTACTTCAATTTTTCTTTATTTAAAAAAAATTATTCGTCACTTTCTATATTTTAAATTTAAAAATATATACAAATAAATTTATTCTCTACTCTCTATTTTCCCTTTTTAGGAAAGGAAGCCTAGATACTAAAAGCCTGCTAGACAAAAAAGGGAAATTCTTGCCTAAAATATATATACAGTAATGAGTTGGAGAAGGCCAGGTTTATGTCCTAGGAAACTGAAAGTACATTTATAGAGAGAAGGTGGGGGGGACTTTTGAAATCTGAATAGAGGGGCATCGGATCCTTCTGCTTTTGCAGTTCCATGAAAGTCTTAACCTTACCTTCCCTAACTAACTGCTTTCTCTGTTCTCTATTTCACTTTAAAAATCATTGATTAAGTAGTACACCCAATATTCATCACCCTTGAAACCACTCATCCCTAGCAGATTTCTTTCTTTATTTCATTGCCGTTCCTATATATTTCTGCACACAATCTTGATTTCCTCAAAGTCGGATATGTCAAATTCAGAGTTAGTTTTTGCCTCGAAAAATCAGGAAGAAGAGACCAAATCCGCAGTTGCAGCTCGACCCTCGTCGGAAGATCCAAAAGGGTGTCAAAATATCACGCAAAGCTCTCATCTTTTCGACTTTCAAGATTTTCAAGATTTGCAGAGGGAGATGGAAACTGAAGCTTCTTCTTCTTCTTCTTCTTCTTCAAAGCCAATGGGGGATGACGACGATGGCGATGACGGCTTCAAAACCCCAACTTCTTTGAAGCACAAAATCCCAGAGATGATCACGTGTCCACCTGCGCCAAAGAGAAACCAAATAATCACCAGCAAAGTGAAAGGCGGCAGTGTTATCGTCTTCAAGAGCCCTCGAAGGAGACTTCAATTCGATGGATCAGACGAATACGATCAGTATATACCAGGGGTTGAATACTTGCTTTAATTGGGAAGAAGATAGCCAAATCTACAAGAGAATGAAGGTGGCATATATATATATGGTGTTTTTCATGGAGTATTAGTATGACACTTTTGGATAAATAGTATAAGATTTTGCAATGTAACGATTACCGGATTATATATAGCAGTATTATATCCGGTACAAGCTAAGTTCTTTGATTGAAATACTGATTTTTTTTTTTTAAAAAAAAATTTAGATTAGTTTGGAGTAATTGATTATTCTGCACAAAGTGAATTGGAAGTGATGAAGTGCATACCAAGAAAAAATTAAAATGGAGCTTGGATATTATATTGTAGATGTCCAATTATTGTTTTTTTTTTTTTATAAATATTTTTCTACATACTGCATGTATCGGGTCCCTGCAAGTCTGCAACCTTCTATATAAAAAGCAACAACGATGTCATCAAATCACAAGGTGTTTGGCACATAGTTTACATGCATCAAGAATTAAACCAATTTATGTCAACATTCTTCCAAAATGTTGAACCCCAACCCTAAGAGTTTATGTCAACATTCTTTAGTCCATTGGTGGTTTTAATGTTGTGAGTTACATTGTGTTAATGAATTAAAGGGAGTAGTAGTTTTAATTGTCATTAGTGGGTTTAACTGTGTTAATTAATATTGAGTTATAAATATGGTCTTCAGTTATATTTTGTTTCGATTAATCACTATACGATTAATTACTTGTTTATGTTGTAATTTAATTTGTTAGTGTGAAAATTAAAATTAAAAATTTGCTCCATAGATCTATTAAAAATATATAATTTATTTATCAAAAAAAAGTTTGACTCACGTGAAAAGAGTATGAACGGTACGATTTAGCTTATACTATATGTATGAATTGAACAAAACCATATCGTATAGTAATAAGAAATTTTTAAATTTGACAAACAAATAGCTAATTAGTTTATTTAACAATAAAGTTTTTTTTTTTTTTTTTTTTTTTTAGGGCATGAAGATTAATAAGAATATTACCACTGTAAACGAATCAATCTAGCTAAAATTTTCCAAAACAATATCTATTATAAGTAATAGTTGATTTATTATTTCAAATAGCTATTAAATTTTTTGTGATAAATATTATAATTTATATCATGATTAACAAATAACTATCATAGATTTGACCGGTCCCACCTACATAAAAGTGTGACTTGTATTTTTTTGTTCTGGGAAAAAAGAACTTTATTACTGACTGACATGGAAATAAAAAACTTTATAATTGATCATTAAAATACACAAACGAAGAAATGTCATTCTAGTTACCTGACATAAATGATAAAAGATAAATTTACAATAACAATAATACAAACATAGGGAAACTAAATAATTTTATTGTATCTAGAATGCAAAGTCTTAAATGTTGTGCCCGCCGGCAATGAATTCTATCAAAGTGGAGATGGAAGTGGAATAATGCTCTGTTCATGCCTGAAGAAGTTATCTGGATCTACCAAAGCTTTCACTCTGGCAAGCCTATAGAAGTTATTCATGAAATATTTATAACCCCAAGAACTTGCCTGAGACAGGCTGGTTGTCCCGACCAAATTGTTTTGTCCCAGGTCAAGATCCCTGTAATTCACATACGATTCTCTGGGATTGTTGGAAACAAAGGGAGCCAAGTAAGCGTAAAGCTTCCGAATCCATGACAGATGCTTCTGAGCGGCCACTTCGCCGGTTTCGTCCCATCCAACGGTGTATTCGAGGAAAAATAGGTTCCTTGCCCTGTGTGGATAAGGTGTTTCTGACGGCGGAATCTCGTCCATTATCCCTCCGTACGGAGTTAACTGCATTTGCGGCCCGTTGACGTCTTCTTCTTTAAACAGTTCAATTATCCCTTGGAAAACTTGGTGGTTTAAGGGGCGTTTGACGTAGTCGGACTTGATCTTGTAGCTCCGTTTGAGCGGGAATGAGCGGTTGAGTAGACTGCCGACGGGGAAGTGATAGAGTACGGAGTTGATCCAACTCATCTCCGTTAAGTCGGATTTTGTCACGCCTAATTCTGGGAATCCTTTGTGCATCATAGGTAGCAAGGTTTCGGAGCTTCCGAGGTATAGTGCACTGAACAAACCCTGTACTGTTCTCCCATTCGTAGTGTTGGTGTTTTGTAGGAAGATTCTGAGGAAGAAGTTTCTGTCGGCCTTGTTGCCGAAAACCTGCCATTTATAGATTAGGTCGGTTAAGTTTTGTTCCTCGGTTCTGTTAATGGTGAATACCGTGACGATTTCGGGCACGGGAACCAGTTCCAGTTTCCAGCCGAGTATCACGCCGAAGCTGGCGCCGCCGCCGCCCCTGATAGCCCAGAAGAGATCCTCCCCCATGGATTTCCGGTCCAGGATTCGCCCCTTAACATCCATGATTCGGGCGTCAATCACGTGGTCCGCCGCCATCCCATATTTCCGTATCATCGCCCCGTAGCCGCCGCCGCTGATGTGTCCACCCGAGCCCACCGTGGGACAAAACCCCGCCGGAAAAGCTAAAGTGTCGCTCTTATTAGCAATGGCATAGTACA